TGTTTAAAATAATATACAGTTCATTTTTTTTTATTAAGTTGGTTATTTAAAAAATGTTACTTTTGCCTAAATTAAATAGTCTGACACTGTCAAATTGTCAGTAATTTATTTGAGTTCCAAAAAGTTAACAAATATGTCACTAGCTATAAACCCTGCTACTATTTGGAACGTAGCTGCTACGTTACTAGAACGTTTCAATATCGTTGCTAGAGCGTTATAATTACTTTTATTTATTTGTTTTTACTTCTATATCAACTGTCTTTGTCAAATTTATATTAGATTATACTATCCCTCCTTTTTTAAATGGAACCACTACGGACTTGGAACTGTTGAACTTATGAATTTAGTTTTTGTAAAATAAAGGCGCTTCATCAATATTTAAGTATAAAGAAACTATTTATTTAATAATGTTTATAAATAAAAAAACCTTAATATTTATTATTAATTCTTTATTTAATTATTAATACCGTCTATTACCAACAAAATTACTATTTATTAAAAAGTAAACAATTAAAATAATTTATTATTTACATTACCACGTGGTTTTGTACAGTAAAAAATGGCCGATAAGAAGCATTTTCCTTTGAAGTAGTTTTCGCTACTTTTTTTTCCACCTTAATTTACTTTACGGTAGTTTTGGTTAGTACCATAAACGTTCCAAATACTAAAATAATAAATTTTAAGTTATTAACTTTGTAGTTTTTAACTCATGTTCCAGTTTCGAGATTTTAACTTGCAAAGGGACTACAAAGTAAAAATAATTATAATGTAATCTAGCAACCGAAAGTAACTGCTACAAATTAAATTTACTTGAAAGTTTTTTTTACTTATAACACCTTTTTTAAAGTTGCAAAGTCTTCTTGGGGGCAACAAAGTTTTACTTAAATTTTTCGTACTTTATAGTACCTAACCATTTAAGGAAAGAATGAAGTTTCTGTTACAAAATATTGCTATTTAAAAGTTAGAATTACTTTTAAGTAAAAATTAAAGTAGCTGTTTAGTATACTTAACTAATTTAAAGTTATCACCACTTTGGTAATGGTTTTTGGAACCAAAAATGCTGCTTGGGATTGTCCCTCCTGGGCCGTAGTCACCTATATTTAACTACTTTTTATATGATTTTACTCATCTACGCACCACCAAAGCCAAATTAATTGCATTTTTAACTACGAATTTTGACAACTCAACTTGACAACCGTTCAATGTAACCTACAAAAATTTAAACATAACCACAATTACATTTATAACTATTTTTCTACTCCCACATGTTTCCGTGACCTTTTAAATACACATTGACAAGTTGTGGCTTTACGGCGCTTTAGTCACGAGCTGAAGTTAGTTTTAAGTTAGTTGACAGTTGTCAAATGTCATACAATCGTTAAAATAAAGTACCTTTCTTGTATTTTATAAAATAATACTAAATGTGAAAATTATTTTATTATCTCAATACAAAAATACAAAAGTATTAAATATTTTCTCAACGCCAATATTTGAAAAGTTATATAGGTATATGAACATTGTACTGACCTTTTAATTTCGCCGGCAGTAAACTATAACTTAAATTCGGGCACGGACTCTACTGTAAAGTCCTCATAAAACATTTCTTTTACTTTCACTGTGAAAAACTGTCAATTTTCAATATACATTTCGATTTATAACCATTATAATTGTGTTTATAAAATGTAAAAATGTGACATTTGACAGTTTCTCCTGTTGTTTCATAGATGGCGTTCTATACAAATTTTTGTCAATATAAATATAAAATGGCGTTTATCAAACTTGATACATAATATACTATTATAGCAAACGTCATTCAAACGTCAGTAGACGATAATAGAGTCATTACCTTTAATTTCACTCAATAATCTTTGATAACATTTTGCCCTCATTTACCATCGGAATAAGCCTTAAACAATCGTCCAAAATTACGTGATAGTCTTCACAAAAGGAGTGGAAAACACGTTTACACGCCAAGCACGACACGTTTTCTTTCTGGCCGAGATTGTTTGAAAATGTAATTAAGTGCGGTCGAAACAAAGCCCCGACATAGTCGGCCATTCCTCGGCGGACTGCTCTAATTGAAAATGCCGCACTATTTACGTACGACAAGTTTCGAATACCCTCATTGTCGGTAACTACTTTTTTCCTTCTTTCAATTCCATTTGTATTGACTGCGTTTCATGTTAAAACACGTCGAAATGCCCGCCTTTTTTAATTAAATTTACGCTCTTTACTCATCACGGCCACTCCAAATTAGTTCAAAGCTTAATTTTTGGCGCCCAACATCACATTTTCGAGTATTTTTTTCATAGCACCTGATTTATGTTTTTATCTCCACGCGGTCTATAATTTAAACTTTATTGTTGTCAACATTCGATAAAGAAATACCTTGTTATGGCCTAGGCAGATAAAAATTTTTATGAGGCAAGTAATTAGTTCGATTTTTTCTCGCTAGGGGTATTGTTTTGACAAATTAATCCTTTTCTAAGAAATTAACGTACTAAACTGGTTTAATTTATTTATAATAAGCACTAATTTGTTTGTTTTACTGTTAATGTTTAATATTTTTTATTAAATTGTTGCAAAATTAAATATGAATAATAAAACAAAAAGTGAGGTTATGCAACCAAGAAAACGCACGATTCTTTTTCTACGATTTAAATTATCTTTAAGTTTTAATTTGCTTTAAGTTTTCAGTGAAATTAAATGTTAAACACAGCTTAAACATTCCAAACTACCTATTTTTTAAATAAAAATCCAAACAAATTGAAATTAGATACCTACCTATTTATTAAACAATTAATTGAATTCAATGTAATAGCAAAAATCCATTTCTACTTAAATCATGTAGCTAGGTATTGTCAAACTATTACTGCTTCTAAAAGCAATAATAATTATTGTACATTTAATGTAATCTTTAGCTAATAAATAAATGAGATTCTAAAAAAGTGTGGTTAGGCCGCTTTGATGTTGAATTAAATTGACCTATATAAAGTGCTTTAAAGATAAAATGTTGTATGTTATTCGGCCAAGAAGTGCCTTTTTGTGCTTAGCACAAAAAGCCTTACTTCTTAACCTAATGACATAAATAACTATTATTTTTACTTTTATTTAAGATACCTATACGCTAAAAAAGTATCGCTAGTAGCGCCACCACTCGGCTGTTATCATCGTAACAAAAGTACGACTTTTATCAGCTGTCCAACGCTTATGTTACAAACGAGTGTTTTTGAGAATAAAGCCGGAAAATGTTAAAAAATATCGAAAAAAAACCGTGGCTCGATTTGTTGTGTTGTTCGGTGTATTTCGAGAGGAAATCCTGGGTTGAGTTTTTACCGGTTTTCCAATAAACAGTGTTAATCTGAATGAAGAAATAAATTGCATACAGTCTCTGTTAATATAAATCGTACCTATTAGATACAATAAATACACATTTTAGTAGTGATTAATGTAAAAAGTGTAAACATTACAATTCAGTAAAAATCGTCAAACAAATAAGTGGTCTAAATTTAAACAGCATTTAGCATTATTAAAAGCGTTGATTAAGAAAGTCTCCACTCAACGGTAAAATACCATATGGTATAGCTATAGTATTATATTATGTATTATATATAATACTGTTGCCATGAATTCGTAGGTATATTTTGTTGTTTAAAATGCAGTTGTCGGCGTTTTTTAGAGAACTCAAATATAAAAATGGTTGATTTTAAGGTTATATATTTGTGAAAATAGTAGATTATTATTAGGTACTATCGCTAACAAAAAAAACTCATACAGCTTAAAAATCTAGTGTTCCTGATTTTCTATCATTTCGTTGGAGTAATTATGGCTTTTAACATGATACGTCACATTTGAAAGGTCTAAAATTAAATACAAAGTTAGGTTGAAGTTTGAAAAAAAAAATAATATTTCGTCATCCCTCTGTTTTTGTCAATTACTGCTTTATCTAGTTCCAAATGGCTTCAATGGCTTGCCAGAGTTCGTCTGCATTGTTTGGTTGAAAATGTTTAAAAAGTCATAATGGATGTGACAAAGCTCGATGTCAGCTTGACATTGACGGAAAAGTTTTATTCACACAGCCACAATATAGCTGTATGAGTTTTTTTTGTTATCGATAGTATTATTATGTCATAAGGAGTAGAAGTGACTCTTTTTGTGGTGAGTACAGAGATTGGCGGCCGAAGCGTAGCTGAGGCAGGCAACTGTACGAAGCACAAAAAGAGCTTCTACTCCAAATAACATACAATTTTTTTTTCAAGGGCGTAATATAAATAGGATAAGCAATAGAATTATTTTATTTACTCATAACTTATGTGGTATAAAATTTTGGCTAAAAGCATTACCTATAAATTATTGTTAAAAACTAAAAAAACTAAAACTAAAATTATTTTTTTTACTAATTTTTAAAAAATGTCCAAACTTAAATATAAATCCTATTAGATAAAGTTATCATTAGTTAATTCTACACCAACAAATGTACTTACCGAATTGGATCCTTTGGCAAAACATGAAAATGCCACGATTTAGTTCTTGAATTTTATTTACAGTTAAAAACACAATAACTCACCATGATCACTTTGATAAAATACACACACTAACGTAACTATATAAGCATTTAAGCGTTGAGTTTCCTTGCAACGTAAAACACAAATAACGTGCGCGATTTAGCTGTGCAATTCCTCTATTTTGTAAAAAAACTTAAATTTGGTATTGTTGACAATTTTTAAATTCACGAAGCCCACCAGATGGCGTGCGCGTTGCCAAAACCCGATACTTCTTTAGGGTATAATTGAACCAATAAGATAAAAGCATGGAAAACAATTACATTACAATTAATACAAATTAATATTAAGAGCTGAAAATTACAACAGGGGGATTGAAAAAAAAGTACCACTTTTTATTATAGGAACAACCCTTGCTCCGCTTAAATACATAGTGCGCCACCTATCGTAAATTCTACGCAACACAAAAAATCCTTACAGCTTTCTACCTTTCCAACGCGATAATTCGCAAACAGCTGTTGCATATAGGTTATGATCGTGTTTATAAAATGAATGCACATTTTCGAATACCTTTATGACCTGCCGTAACCGTGTCGCGTAGTGAAACAATTTAATAGCGGTCCCTTGAAAAACACAAGTTCGCGAAAATGTCATCGGGTAGAAAGTGCAAAAACTGCGGGTCCTCTGACATCGAGGTGGACCCAGCCAGAGGTGATGCAGTCTGCACGAATTGCGGTTCCGTTTTGGAGGACAACATTATCGTCGCGGAAGTGCAGTTTGAAGAGGGAAACCATGGTACATCGAGCGCCATCGGGCAATTTGTGGCTGCCGATTCAAAAGGGGGTGCCACAAAGTTCGGAGCATGTAAGTCAACTAATTAGAAACAAATGAAACACTGGAAAGTGTTTTCCAACCAATCGAAGCACTGGATTCTCTGCCATGATTTAGTGTGCTGTGGAGAATGCTGTTCTTCGATTGGTTAATCAATTTCCATTGAAATATTGAGAGTAAATCTTTATTTTAGCTTTTCACGTTGGTGGCGGTATTGAATCGAGAGAAATAACCCTTAGAAAGGCCCGAAATGGTATAACCACCCTGTGCAGTCAATTGAGGTTAAATCAGCATTGCATCGACACAGCTTGCAGCTTTTTTAAGATGGCTTTATCGAGAAATTTGACGAGAGGAAGGAAAAATAGCCACGTACACGCCGCTTGTGTTTATTTGACATGCAGAACCGAAGGGACTGCACGTATCCTTTTTTCACTAATATAGTTATTTAATTGTGGGTTTATGGTTGAACAAAACAGTTTTATAATGTTTGCTCATTCTAGTGTATTAAAAAAAGCCATTTTTACTTATCTATCTAGAAGGTTATAGATTGTTAAGATTTTATTGGTAATGTTGACAATTGTGAACAATAAATTTTAAAATGACAATCTATTACAAATTGTAAAAAAAAACATTTCACATTTTTTTCCAAGAAAACAAAAGAATTAGAAAACTTAACCTAAAACACAAAACCCTATTCTGTCAATAAAACCAAGGTCAAGTTACACAATATGGTTAACTTTTTTTTTTAAATAAAATTCTTCAAAGAATCCCAGTGTGTGTTTAGCTTTATTTGATAAGTAAAAATGGCGGCCAAACCAATAATTTTTTAATATTGCAAATAACTGAAGCGTTTTTAAAATAAGAATTTTCAATTGTTTTTTTTTAATTTTCGGAGGTGTTTTGACGTTTTTGAGTATAGCTTGAAATCTAATTGATCAATTTGGCCAAACAAGCCCATAAAACTTTCTTTTACATGCTTTTGATATCGGATAACTATTTTGACGCTAACGATTTTAATAACTGAAAAAATTCGTTTTTATGGCAAAAATTGAGGTCGAAAATTTACATATCGTCCTGGGAAGGGTTTAAATCAAACAGATAACTCCAGTTTGAATATTTTTTCGTGAAGGTGACATTTTTACAAAATAAACAAGCTAATGTTGATAAAAATACATGAAAAAATGGCGAAGTTATGAATTTTTTAGTGGAAGATCAAAATTCAGCTTTTTGACGATTTTATTTTATTTTGTTCTTTTATTTTGTATTATGTTTATTCTTTAATGAAAACCTAAGTAAAGTACATGACTGGAATTTTTTGAGTTTTTGACGTACTTTTTTCACCGAAAACGTTATTCAAAATTTTAATTTGACATGACTCCGCAAACGTGAATTATTTTGTTTCTCGTGTTGGTATAGTGATATTTTACTGCTATTTTTTGATATTTCAACAACGTATTTTTTTCATAGTTTTATTTAGTTAATATAAAGTGTAAAATGAGTAAAAGAAGTAGAGAGTTCGAGTGCGTAAATAACCCGGAAAATCTGGGCGACGTAAGTGATGAGCACGGAGAACGTTTTCACCAGCAAATGAATGCTATGGAACGGCGGTATCACGGCTTCTGGGATGCAGCCATGATGGGTGATTACATTTGGTCCCTCATACGAGAAACGGAATACGAAAGCAGCAAAAAACAAAGAAGGAGCCAGAATTTTTTTAAACCTATGCTTAATAAAACAAAATAAAACTTTTAATATCTTCAATGTTCAATATATAATTTAATTTCAATATTTAATGTTTAAAATAAAAATCAATACTTAATATTAAATTTTATATATAAAACGTAAAAATTCTCGAAACACTGAACTTTGCCATTTATCCATGGATTTTTATCAACAGCAGCTTATTTTTTCCTTTAAGTATAATCTTAACGTAAAATAAATCAAACTTGACTTATCTTTTCGATTTCTATCTTTCCCTGAAAGATATGTAAATTTTCGACCTCGATTTTTGTAAAAAAAAGGACTTTTTCAACTTCATAAAATCGCCAGTATCAAACTACTGAGCCGATACCAAAACTATACAAAAGAAAGTTGTAGAGGGCTCAATTACCTTTGATTTAAGTGCTTGTTTGGCCAAATCGATCAATTAGAACTCGAAGTATACTCTAAAACGTCAAAACAAACTTACCTTGAGAACTTTACTATTTAAACTAATTTCTCGCTACACCAATTGAATGAATAATTTGTGGTTATGTTTTTTTATTTAATCTAAAGCGTAGCTACGAACGCCATCTATTCAAATGTGTTCAAAATATATACAAAGAAGCATTGATAAGTTATAAAATTTCAAAGTTAAAATGTGTTTTTTGTCATGGAATTAAACATCATCTAGTCTTATTATTTAATGTTGGATAACAACCTTAATGCAAACTCGTAGGACTGTAGGGACACGCCCCACGATACTAAAGATTTAAACCCATTCATCATCCAACCCCTGAAGTATATTTTTTCTCTGTAAACTTCCATCAGCGTTCTAGTGTAACTTATGGAGGTGCCCACTTCTTTGTGTATTGCTGTCTTAAGTACTTTGATGGGGTAAAAAACCATGGACATGGTTGTGCCGCAGAACGCGCCTCCGATGAATTCAAGCAACGGGAGATTGTTGTAGTTGACCGTGATCTCGTGAAATTTGTCGCGTAAAAAGAAAAAACACAGGTTGGAGCTGGAGTTCCTGATCCATATCACTGTGTATCCCCGATAGAGTTCCTTCGTGCCGTGCTTTTTCTGTATTTTCACGAAGGCATCGAACATGTTCTTGTAGTTTTTGTTGTAGTTCGAGTAAATTAAAACTGTTTGCACCCTTTCGAAAGGCATTATGGACGATTCAACACTAGCAGCGATAACTGAGCTAAGTATTTGGTTGTAGCGTTGATTCGGTATCAATTTCTCCAAATTCCTATGCACCTGGCTGTAAGTTCCGAACATTATGGTCATCTGAATCGACTTGTGCAATAACGGCGGCAAAATACCTCTGAACAAAAGCGAATGCCCCTCTGAGTACATTTTAAGCAAGGTATCTTTGAAGCTCGTCCTGTCCAATATTTGCCTGTAATTAAATTTCGTCATGGGATACGTCACTGCCACAGACATAAATCCGGAGAACAACCCGGCGAGGTACTCTTTCCCGGGTACATCTTTTTTCGTTAAAACTGCCTCTCGCTGACATGTTTGCACAACAGCTGGTTTTGACATACCACATTAAAAAATATCTCTCGCCATGAAGGGTGTTTGAACATTTTTTGAAAATAGTCCTTAATGCATTTTAGATTTGCTCATCGACATCAGTGATGTGCTGCAAATTTGCTGCTACGAATTGGGAAGGACCTACCTGAAACTGTCTCAAGCACTTTGCATAAACATACCATCAGTTGGTGAGTTTTTTAATTATTTTTATAGTTAGGCAACCCACTGCACAGACTCTAACTCTTGTGCTGTATACAGATTAATAATCGTTTGTGAAAAATAAACTTTATTCTATCAGGGCTGTCATAAAACTGTCAAATGTCAATTTTAAGGTTAAATTATAACCCACAAATTAACCTTTAAATTGTCATTTGAAAGCCTTGATAGAATAAGGTATATTTATTATAAAATGGTTGTCCTTAGCACTTAAAGGCCTTATTTGAGGCTTACAAGTGCCTCAACGTTTAAAACAATTATTAAACAGCACAAACCCAAAGCACAAGAATTGTAAACAACAAAAATGGCCGCCGTTAAACTCTGTGCAGTGTTGCAGTGATTTTTAGTATTTTTAGCATGTTGTGTGGATTGTGTGATATTCTTTCAGGGCTGTCAACAAACTGACAAATCCCAATTTCAAGGTTATAGGGCAAATTAAACTTAAAATTGGTAATTAACAGTTTGTTGACAGCCTTGATAGAATAAGGTTAATTTTTTACAAAACGTTTAAAACGATTATTTATCTGTATAACCCAAAGCACAAGAATTTTAAAAAACATAAAAATTCTAGGGACTAGAATTGGCTACTTTGGGTAAAACAAAATAATTTAGTCGATTTATGCAGCACAAATTAATTATTTTATCAAAATTCTATTTTGTTTTTTACTTTTTATTTAGAATTTTCTGTTATCTTTGGAATTGTTTATTATAACTCCTACATGTAAAATTAAGGCATTGAACAGGAGTACCAATTTCAAATATTAAAAATACCAAAGTATACTGCTATACAGTTGAAGGTCTTTAATATACAGTATCAACATAATAAAATATTTCAAATTCCTAATAAACAACAAACAAACTGTAAATTATAATATATTCAGAAAATAAGACAAAATTGAGAGATGCATGACCTCAGTTCTATTAAAAAAGAATTACAATTAAAGAAAAAATAACCCCATCGTGAATATAGCATATTTTATGTCAAAAATTATCAGCTTTCAGAAAAAATATCAAATTTGAAATAAAAGCTGAAGTTAGCAATAGGTTTTTAGTCACGGGCTGAAGTTTGTTGACAGTTGTCAAATGTCATACAATCGTTAAATTACAACCAAATGTAAAAATTATTATATCAATATTATTATCTCAATACAAAAATGCAAAAGTAATAAATAGTTTCTTGGCGCCAATATTTAAAAAGATTATATGAACGTTAAAGTTATTTTAATATTTTAAAGAATCAATAATTGTTACAATTACCTCAAAATGTTTATTGGGATGGTACTTTATTTAAAATAAACAGCAAAGAATGTTTAGATATTTTTATTTATAAAATAATTTGTCAGTTATATCACAAAACTGGAACAAAGACCTATATAGTAATAAACAATAACATTTTAAATACAGTGGAGCTTGCCATACTGACAAGGTCAATTTTTTTGAGAACAATTAACATAACCAATAACTCAAAAAAAGCGGGATGTTATTAAATGTATATCTTCAGTCCAGGTACGTTTTTTTTTCTATAGGATTTTTACAACATAAAAAACTACAACTCACCAATAGCACTTAAACTAGCGTGCAGAGTTAATGTGTATCTACTAGTAACAATAACTTAAACAACTTAACAAATTGAACACAATTCTCTTGGGGATATTCAGTTTGGATCACAAAATCATAAAGTCTCAGTCAATTTTTTTTATCTAGTCCTAATGTTCTTCGTGAGAGGGTCCGTAAAATATCAACTCGGGAATCTGACCGCCTTGCACGCCAGTGCCGTTCGTGCTCTCGGACGAGCACTGAAACTGAAACGTCACTTGACCCACCGTAACCTCACTCATGCCTTCTTGCCCGAAGTAACTCAATTCGCCCCCATCAAGCACCGCTGAAGCGGTGTAGAAGGTCTCCGGCTCGACCTGTATGGGGTTGTCGAAGTAGACGTGAAAGGTGTTGCTCGAACCGTCCGAAAAGAACTTCGTGTTGCTCTCGGAGAGGATGCGCCCCAAACGCTTCAGTTCGATTTTCACCGCGTAGTCGGCCGCACCGTTGGAAGACCCGTAGAGTCCGAAACCCACGACAAAAATTCTGCGATCCACGGAAAACTGGATGCTGTCGCATCTGCCCCTGTAACGCCACTGATTCGACCTGTAGGCGCACGATTGGAACCGATGGCAAACCTACCGAAAAACAGTTATTGATTTGACTTTGTGTAACTCAAAAAGACCCCAGTAACACAAGGCTTTGTCACTGTTTGGGTTTTTGGGAGTTTTTTTTATTTTTTTATTCATACTATTGACATATAATTTTACAGCTTGTAAATATTCACAAAGGTTCTTAGAGCAATAACAAAACTTGGGTATAACTCACCTGCGACTTTAGTCCGGCCCTGGACTTGATGGGGTAGTGCAGAGAGGGCTTGTTGTTGGCCGTGAAGTGAAAAAAGATGTCTATCGTCTCTTGCTGCGTCAGAATGCCGATCTGCGCCGCCCCATTGGCGAACTCCTCCAAGGTCATCGTGGGTATCCTGATTAAGTACAGAGCGTTGCCCAGTACGGCTCTTTTGTTCTGAGGGGTCGGTTCTAGGTCTTTGCGTTGGCATTCCGCCATCGCCCAGTTGAGAGCTGCTTCGAGCAGATTCATCTCCTTGCAGTTGAGCGTCTCCCTGCCGAGAACGGATTCCAAAGTCGACATGTCGATGTCGACAAACCCCTCCGACTTGAGAGCCATCTCGGCCTAAAAGCACCGATAATTTGCATTGCTAATTTGGCAGAGGTCGACTTGCTATTGTATGTTAATTAAAAGGATCGAATAAATTAATAAATAGTCCAACGTTTTAATAATCCATATATTAACAATACACATACAATCAATAAAATTACATGTCACACAGGAATGCCGTAAATATTTGGATTAAAAACACAGTGGATTAAAGCAGACATCAGCATTATACATTTATGTTATTGAGCAAATTCACAGGTGTTAATTAATTAATGAATGTGAGCGCTAAAGCTACAGTGGCGCCGCCTCTCCAAACCGTTATGAATTGAGGTTAGGTCTAGGCAGGAGATGGAGTGGGCGATGCTTACCTGCGCGTCGATAACCTCCCAGCACCTCTGCATCAGCTCGGGTTCCTCGAAGAGCCGCGATTGGCTGAGCAAGAGGCAAGCGTTTTTCGCCGTGAGGCTGGTTTCGAGAAACGTAACGCACGCTTTCGCCAAGTGCGGCACGATGTACTTTTTGGCCACGTAGAGCGTGGCGAGGACGTTGTCGTCCTCCAATTGGATTTCATCACAGTAGAGGTATCTAAAACGGTCATTATATAGTATTTGGATGAATTGATTGTGTGGGGGAGAGTTACTTTAACAGAGCGAGGAATGCGGACGGTTCAACGTCTGGAACTTCGATCTCTTCCTTGCACTCGGCCAGACCTCCGTGGAACATGGCTTGAAACACGGAGCTGCCGATGGCCAGCACATACTTGTGAGCCGGTATCACTTGAGTTTGACCGGGAGGACCGACGAGGAATTTTATGTCCGCCATGAGGTCGTTATTGAACATCAGCGCGTTTCTCTCTCTCACGGTGGATTTTCCGGCTTGCCAGTTGGGGTCCAAGGTGGCGTTAGGGCCGGAAGGTGTCACGCAGGGACTGGACGGTGGGCTGCCCGGCGCGCTGGCAGGTTGCATTACCTGAAGGTTCTCCCTTTGCGAGACGATGTGGGGAGGAGGCGATAAGCTGAGCGACCCATTGTTGAGGGTTTCTGCTGCAAGAAAAGAGATCGAATTAGTTCGGCGACAATGTAAATGAATACAAAAGTTAGGGGTAGGAACGGACCGCGGGCTTAAAGTCCCCTCCGAAGGACTATTACACAAATGAATACAAAACCTTTTTTGATGGACGTTAGGTTGACGAAAATGATGCTCATGGCTGCGAACGACCGAGGCAAGTAGAAAGTAAACAAACAAGGAAGTCGTCTTGCGCACATCCCGTCGTCTATTTCCAGAAATAAACTCTTACCGTTCATCCAGGCGTTGGTCTGCGAGATCGACATGTTGTCGCCTGTTCGCTTTACAGTTTTCGACGACTTCTTCGAGTACAAATTCGACATGGCCATGATTTATCGCCCTCGCACTCTTCTTCGTTCAGTGCACCGCGGCCATCTTTGCTGCTGCCGTCGTTGGTCTCTGTGCGGAGCGAAAGCGACGCGCGGCGTTCCAGTGACTTTTACTTTGGAACACCGACTTATATAGATTTCGTTTCGTTGTCGTTGACGTTCGGGCATTTGCAATTTAAATGCGTCCACTAATTAATACTATTGTTTGTTTGATTTTTTACGTTTTACGTCACCGGTGGTATTTTAAATTTTTCGTCGGCGATATATAATACTTGGAAACCCGTGTGCATTATGGATTCAATCAACGCGCGCACTCTCTTTAAACAAGCTCGATAAAGCAGCAAAAAATTAGTATTCATATAAATAGTAAAATATATTAAAAAACATTGCTTTGTAGTAGGTGGTAATTTTCCTTTCATTTGTTTAATGTCTACGAATTATTTCATAGGGCAGTGATCCTTAGTAAATTATTTTGTTCAATGTTATTGTTGTAATTGTAACTCTCAACAAGTCCAGTTATTTCCGTGTTTAAACATGTTGACCATCAAAACATGAAAAACAGATAAATAAATAAATCATTATATATGTTTGTTTCATTAATATTTTAACTGTTTTTAATTTAATAAGGCGTAGGTATTGTTTGTTAATTTGAAATTGAGTTTGTTTATAAATATTTTTGTTAAGGTTTAGGTCAAGGTTCTTTTTCAGACATAATAGATAAAATGTCTAAATGTTTAAAAATTCCAACTATATCCGTTATTGATGCCGGATCTTGCCACTAGATGGCGATGCGTGTTACAAAGTGCTTATATACTTACCACACATATACAAATCATTTCTAACTATGCGTGGTGTCATTGCCTGTTTAGAAAAATAATTTTTGTCCCTATCTATTTCTATAGATTAAGTGCGATCCAATAAAATTTTATCCACGGTATTTGAAGAAAAAAAATGATTTTTAACTAAATAGAGAATTAAAAATCTGTTTAGGTTAAAATAATAAGAATGACTGTGTAATAAACACAAAAATTGATGATATTTAAATTTTATAATGGCATGTTTATAACAGCAAGAATTTATCAACGTCGTATTTCTAGTAGAAATTTTCTACCACAATAGCCAAAGACATACTAATATGTAGAGTTGGAATATTTTTTTGATTATCTGGATAAAATTACGAAAATCCTTTTTTTATCAGCACCATGTTTAAAAAAGTTTATTTGTTATAAAAATATATTTAAGATTTTTATAAGAATTTACTGTACAGTGTGTTTTATAATATACAGTGCTTGCAAATCCAAGTCCGACCGGTTTGGGAAGGACGCGTGAAAATAACAAGGATAGAACGCCAAACAGAAGGCACTTACAATACGCACGCCTGACGCTCTGACCAATCAAATTCTGTTTGGCATTCTATCCTTATTCTTTTCACGCGGGTATTGAACAATCATCCTTTCCAACGCGGTCGGACTTGGATTTGCAAGCACATGCGCAGGACTGCAGGATGTGATAGCTCATCCAAAAATATAAAAAAGTCGCTATTAACTTACCCTCTAAAATGCACAATTTTCGAGATACAGGGTGTTGAAATTTAAAAAAAAATCGTTTTTTTTTAATATCTGCGGAACTGTTTATCGTATCGTATCGTAAAAAACAGCTTTTGTAAGCATTTTCTACTCATAATAAGCTGTATTTTGTGCCATAAAAAATTTTTTTACTCATAATTGGTGGAGATTTTGAAGGGGTAGCGGGTGTTTTTCTCCTCAACTTCTACGCCCCTGAAAAAAGTACGGGTTTGAGAAGCCCATTCTAACCGCCAATATTTTCTATACAAAAAAGGTACTCTTGGTCATAAGCTCTAAAGTTGACCGTTTTCGAGAAAAATCAACTTTTATGTTTAAAAACATTTTTTGAAAAAACAGAACAAGTAACAAAAGCAAACGATAATTGCAAAATTAAAAAAAAAAATAAAAAATGATTCAAAAGTTGTCTTTGCAAAATTCTCCAAACACATTTCAGCATTTGTGTAAAAAATCTTTTTTTATTTTTTTTTAATTCTGCAATTATCGTTTGGTTTTTTACTTGTTCTAACGTTAAAATAAATTTTGTTTAATTAGTAAAAAAAATTTTTTTACATAAAAGTCGATTTTTCTCGAAAACGGTCAACTTTAGAGCTTATGACCAAGAGTACCTTTTTTGTGTAGAAAACATTGGCGGTTCGAATGGGCCGTACTTTTTTCAGGGGCGTAGAAGTTGAGGAGTAAAACACCCGCCACCCCTTCAAAATCTCCCTGTATCTCGAAAATTGTGCATTTTAAGGGTAAGTTAATAGCGACTTTTTTCATCTTTTTGGATGAGCTATCACATCCTGAAGTTCTGCGCATATATTATGAAACACCCTGTATTTTAAAATTAAAATTAAAGTACCTACTTAGGAATAAGATTTAGGGCAATCAATGTGTGAATTTGTTTCTTATTTATGTAAGTAAATACTTTTTTTAACCTAATTTTTTTTTTAATTTACTATTTTTGCCATTAAAAAATTACTCTCCAATTAAATTAAATAATATTTATAACAAAAAGATTTTTGACCAAAAAATTATCCGGATAAAACTTTTGCTTGGGAAGTGACATAAAGTGTATTCTCTTGGGGGTACCATCTAACTCACCGAGGTCGGGGGGATGCTGGTTGTTGTAGGCGTACTCCTCCTCCTGTTGATTTTGGTCCTCCTCCAACGTGAACAGCTGGTCCAGGATGGAGGCGCTGCTCTGCGCGTTCTGGCTCTGTCCCTTGGAGACGTAGTGCGCGCACCTGTAGAGCAGGTACCATACGTTGGCCTGGCCCAAAACCCAGGCCAAGGCGTACCGGCCGGCTGAGAGACCGCCCTGTTCGGCGCCCAGCATGTCCCTATAGGTGGCCCATGGGGCTACAACTCTGGGGCTATTTAAGTGCCTAAAATATAAATGATTATACGTCATTTTTAAATAAATAGGTAGTTGTTTTACAAAAGAGAGGAAGGCAGAAGCCTTGCTCAACAAATTTTGTCCAAAATTTGTGCATGCACGTAATTTGTGATTTAAGTTGCAAGGAAAAAATTAAAAAACTTTTTTAGTACTCGATTTCGATTGATTATTCTTCATATCATTGATTAAGAAACAACGCTTAAATACTTATAGTAGTATAGTTACGTTAGTGTGTGTATTTTATCTAAGGGATCATGGTGAATTATTGTGTTTTTAATTGTAAATAAAATTCAAGAACTAAATCGTTGCATTTTCATGTTTTGCCAAAGGATCCAATTCGGTAAGAACATTTGTTGGTGCAGAATTAACTAATGATAACTTTACCTAACATAATTTATATTTAAGTTTGGACATTTTTAAGAAATTAGTAAAAAAAATTTTGCACAAACATAACCTTAAATTCAACCATTTTTATATTTGAGTTCTCTAAAAAACGCCGACAACTGCATTTTAAACACCAAAATATACCTATGAATTCATGGCAACATAATATACACAGTAGCGTGCCGTGGGTCTAAGAGCGGGAGGGGCGACCTATCTTAAGGGCGGCAATTTTTTTATTTAATAAAAAATAGGGACTTAAAATCAGGTATAATAGTAAACGAACTGACAATAATTATTATTAGTGACGTGTTTAATAAAATACATATTAGTTTATATTAACAATATTTATTAAAATTAAATTATAACAACAACCTTCGTGTTTTTACACCTTTAATAGAATCTAAAACCTTATCGTAATCTTTCATTTGTGCTTTTTCAGATTCAATACATAGTAAGGCCAAGTTGTTTGTCCTTTCCTGTGTCATGGTGCATCTTTGATAGTTAATAATTTTGTTTAGTCTGCTAAAAGTTCTTTCCGCTCCTGCGCTATTATTTGGTATGGTGTGAAAAATTTTTAATAGATTGCATAGAGCTGAGTATGACGAAACTAAATTATTTGAAATTAAAAAAGTCAGCAGTATTGCCATCTATTAGATACATCTGCTATCTATTAATGTCTGATTTTTTACAACAGGGTAGCACTGATTTTTAATACCAGTCGGCAGGTGGACCAGCGACAGTGGTGCTACTGATGGAAGAAAAAAATAAATAGCCTGCCTATAATTTGTATAGTAAATAATTACTTGGAAAGATCGTTGGAAAGGGCGCTCTGGGCAGAGGGGCGGGGGGGGCGATCGCCCCCCCTGGCCCCCTATACGGCACGCTACTGAATATACATAATATAATGATATTTACCGTTGAGTGGAGACTTTCTTAATCAACGCTTTTAATAATGCTAAATGCTGTTTCAATTTAGACGACTTATTTGTTTGACGATTTTTACTGAATTGAAATGTTTACCCTTTTCGCGTTAATAACTACTAAAATGTGTATTTATTGTATCTAATAAGTACAATTTATATTTACAGAGACTGTATGCAATTTATTTCTTCATTCAGATTAACACTGTTTATTGGAAAACCGGTAAAAACTCAACCCAGGATTTCCTCTCGAAATACACCCAACAACACAACAAATTGTGAAACGGTTTTTTCCGATATTTTTTAATATTTTCCGGCTTTATTCTCAAAAAAACGGATTATTAAAAGTGGTACTTGTTACGATGATAACAGTCGAGTGGTGGCGCTACTAGCGATACTTCTTTAGCGTATATTGACAGTTTTTTTGAAACAAGTGTTTATTTAGCAAAACAAAAGCTATAAATATCATACATAAAAATACATAATAGATATTTTATTTTAGTAACACATTCTAGTTGATTATCATGAATTTTCACCTGCAGAAATTTTCGATTAATTTTTGAAATATTACATTTACTACCAAATAAAATACATTTAGATTTATTTATATTTAAAATTATTTACCATATATATTTTTCCCATCACGTAAACCATCGTATCATCGGCAAACAAACAAATTTTAGAATGTTGAACACTTGTAGTGATATCGTTTATGAACATTGTAAATAATATTGGACCTAAGACCGTTCCCTGAGGAACACCATGGTAAGTTTTAATTTTTTGGGATAAAATTCCATTATATTCTACATTTATATTTTTAAGGGATGA